GTGTCAGTTGATGAGTGACCACAAAACGATTCCATCTCTCCAGATAACTGCTCGTCTAGGGACGGGATGAAGTGCGAAAGGGCGTCTTCACTCGGGATTTGTCGTTTGCCACAGGTGGGAAATTCTGTAGAACTTGGGTGATGAGGGTGTTTTCAGAAGGCATCATAGCTAGTCCACCAGTCGTTGAGATAAGGAGGTGTTTCTCAAGTCAAAACCTTTTTTTGCACCATGAACAGAGTCGTCCTTTTGAAAAGATTTCCACTCTGGATTAAAATTTCCCACTATTTTTGAACCTCCCTTGGGAGTCAACATTAAAATCGACACTTAAGGATTAACAAAACTGAAATAGGAAATTGCGATAGTTGAGGTTTCCATTTCAAATATATCGGCAAAATACCTCATCGTCAAGTAAATCAGGAAAGGAGCAAGGCATCCACTCAAGGCCCTGAATGGCAATTGAAATATCTTTCCTTCTGCGGACTGAGAAACGTAGCATCCATTAAACATGTATGTCATGAGCATCGCAGAAAAATACGAGCAGTGCCGCGCCTAAAGTTGTACATTGAGACTTGGGCGCGCATACTACTTAGTGGAAGCTCATCAGTAGTAAGGGACGACTTTAACAAATAACTAAACCATCTAAGCCATGTGTATGACGATAATGGTTTCTTATTCTTCTCATTACGGTCACATAAACTATGTTAGTTGCCCCAATCCCAAGCACTGTCATCCCTCTTTAACCAGGATGCATCTTTGCAGTGATTTTGTGCAGGAGGTGGCTATGTTAACGTTGACGCTGACAAGAGGACAACAAGGCCATTCCGATGACGCAAAAAGGTAAATACATCGGCAGAAGGTCGGGGTAAACTAAATGCATTGTGAACAAACGTATTAAAATCCAAAAGATAAACTGAGTGGGACATTGAAGTGTGTAATTGTTTGACTGCAAACGTAGGCAAAACACTCTCTTTGCGTCTTCACGCCCAACCTACTAAGCTTGCAGTGCAAAAAGATACGAAGCCAAATTACAACTAACATTTGCTATTTTCTCCCTGCGTTGTCAAAGTTGCAGTAGTTTGCCTTCAATTTGACCGAGAGATCTTAAAAAGGAGTAAAAATTTGACTTGCAAAAGTGTTATTTGTTGTGATATGCAAAGTAGACGCATTTGCCAAGCAGACACAAACTATTCTAGACAGTGAATTGTTGCTTGCACCTTGTCATCTGTCAAAATGTTAAATTTATTTGCTCAATCCTTCTTTTGTTCTTATGGCCATTTTAAACTCTGCGGTTGCGCCCTCCTTCCAACACCATGGCCTCCGAGTCGTGTTGATATTCCCTCCCACGCCTCTTCCAGGTCTGCATTGAAGCTCGTTGACTACACTTGCCGGTAGAATTGTTGCGAGACACCAACAAATTGTCAATCGCTCTCCCTCGGAACGAACCCGAAGGTCCCAAAAGCTACACAAACTTACGGCCCGTGTTTCAAGGGCTTCCTAATTCTGTTGCAGTTAGTGTGACCTCAGATTCCTGTTTTAGTGCTTTTGGTGCCACACTGACTCGATTGCCTTAATTTTATGCAAATGGTAAACAAACTGCTTCATTGTGCCCCCAGTCTCTGTGGTTAGCACTAAAGTTGTTTGTAAATGCGTTATTTTAACAATGTTGTCAAGTTCGACTTCATTAGCATTGAATTAGTCAAAGCAGCCTATTTCTTGTGATACTGGTACACACTTTTGCAGCTATTAACTCCTCTAAACTTGGATAGTCTCGAGTTGTCACTATGATAGGACAGTGAAAATGATCAAGACACCATCGACGTGATCCAGAAGCCATAGAAACCGACGTGAGGAAAATGGCAGAGTCTTCGATGCCTAAGGACAGAAAACGAAGCCAATTAAACAAGCCTCGATGTTGTACTTGAAAGCTTTCGGCATTTTCCATCACAACGTGGTCAGTCGTGCGTGCCAAACACCCGACAACCAGCCACCGGTTTAGCGTGCGACATCACAAATTCCTCGTGACTATTCCACTAGACCTGCACTTGTAGTGTGCTTAGAAAATGCGTCAGTTATCCAAACATGCTTACTTAAAAAGGAGAGATTCTAACTAGTCTTGTGAGAATGCAGTTCTAAAACTGCTTTGTCACTTCTAGCTAAGTGGGTTTCATTCGGCCTGCAGAAAGTTGAGGGCCATTGGCGCCTCCTACAGGCGGTTACTTGCCGCTTCCGGTATTTCCGCCATTAGCGATAGCTCTCGTGCAGAACGCGGATTTAAGGTGGTCGCCTAAGGCCTGTGTTGAGAATATCCCCACGGTGTTTCCTCTCCCACGTGTTTTCTTAACATTTGCAGTCGCAATCACAGCAAGTTTTCGTTTACGTTCAATACCTCATTCTGTTATCACTGAATAAAATAACGAGTTGCTTATAATAAATCAACGAAGTTATAACGCTAAGGCTGAACATTTCAGATTAACAAGAAGGGCTACTGGACAGGACCAGAGGCCCTTGAAAATTGTTCTCAAAAACAAAACAAAAAAGTAAAACATAATTTGTCTTGAATGTGATTTCTTCACATCCTCACGCGTTTTCCCACCCTTGCGCCGGGCTTCTCAGATTGTCCACTTTAAGGTGATTGCTAAGCAGTGCCTTATAAGGGACAACCCGCAGATTACTGGAGAAATTCTTGATTCGTGTCACCTAATTCCCACAAATCAAACTAACACCCCTTGTCCGGCCTAAAATTTTGTAGCTAGATGATTACAGATTTTGTACAATTTTGATGCTTGACTTAGTATGCAAACGATAAGTGAGGCTATCGTAAGAAGCTATTTTAATGTTTTTAAGACTACAAATCCCTCACCTTTTCCTTGCTCACGGACCACACGAATGATGGACAAGCGATGACTGGTTTTACTCTAGCCCAATGAGGGTTTATTTTTTGGGTAGAATAACTTTTGGGAACTACAGGCGAACATCAACGTGTAGACAAGATGTGTGTTAGACTAGCTCAACCTCTGCCACATCCCTTCAGCAAAATTATGTGCTTAACTCAGTAGCGTGCTTGAACACATACTTTAATGCATCGTGCCTCTCAGACAAACAAAATCGTGGCTAATTACTAGTTCAGATTTCAGTCCATATTCAAAAAGCAGGCTAGACAATTTTTTGGACGAAAATTTCGAAGTTGGTTTAGGTGTTAGCCTTTTGCTTCCATTAATGAAGCGAATTCAATGTTTAGTTTAGTTTGCTTCGACTGGCTACATTTGCACTAAACATGTCAGATCCATTATCGTACCACTACCGTGAAGATAAGGTAGCAATACGGTCAGTCAAAGTGAGGAGCACACGAGAAATCAGATAAGTGGATCGTTAAAAAAGCTGCATTCAGCGGGTGCATGTTGTTGTACTTATAACTATTTAAGTAACTTTTATTTTTAAAAAAAGATGACCCTGATCAGGGCTTAAAAACAAGCAGCGGGTATAAAGGTAAAGGGACAGGTAAATAGCGTTATCTGCTTTCATAACTTTCGTACAAGTGAATAACATACTTATCCACCAAATATAATTCGCAAACACCCCAACTGTTGCATACTAATGGTACGGTCTTACTGCAGGGCGCATTAACTTCCTAGAGGAAAATTAGTCATAATAGTTAAGCAAAATAATTACCGACCTTTCGACATGGCCTGAAGTCAGTAAGATTGATGGAACCAAACATGACCAGTGTAACGATGAATTTCAGTATTACACACATAAATGTAGGAGAATGCAGTTGTAGACCACAGGAGAGGCAATTCCTCTTATGCAGATTAAAATGAAGTAAGGCATCAAAAGTAATCATTACTGCTCATGTCTTTCGCTGCATATAATTTCTTTTAAAGAAATTAAGGTTCCCTGGGGCAGTAATTTTAAGGTAGTTACTTCAGCGTAAAGAAGTTGCGTAAGTGTCAAAGTACGTTCAACCATCTTTATTATTCATTTCCTAGCAGATAGGCACTTGCTGTTTAAAAATGTTGGTCGACTACTGTAAAGTAGTTTCCAAGTTAGAATTAACAGAAATTTGACTTAAAACTAAAGTCACGCTAATGACTGAAAAAAACGAAATACAGTACAGTACAGATGAGGGGCAAAATTACCGACTCAAAGTAAGGTTCATTCCTTACCTACTTCACCACCAAATAAAAATAAGCCAAGTAAATGTTATATGGAAAAGTTTGAATACTCAGTTGTTTGATTTTTATCATTTTGCAAAAGAGATTTTCCTCTATACTGCTTCAAGCATCGATGATGAAGCTGAACAAGACAACGGCAGCCTTACCAGCAGCATTCCCCTTTCCTCGCATTCAACTCATGCAACGCAAGTGAACTCCACTGCGGTCAACTCACAGGGTACGCAAGGCAGGCCCACTGCATCACAATACACTACACGTGTGTTCAAACCAACTCCCCACTGTCTTGCCTTCTCTTCT